GCCAAAGTAGAAATATTCTGTAATATATGATGTCTAAGTGCTGAAAAGAACTTATCGTTAGTTACAACAAACTATAACAATACATGTATATATATACTTTCGTTTTAACTGACTCGATCTCAATGAGCACAGTGTTGGAATGAAATTACGCAAAATAAGCAAATGAAAGCCAACATGATGACATCTTACTGTGAAGGTGGAAGGAAAGTGTTTAGGTTAATACAAAAGCCAATAAAAGATTTATGAAGACTGTCAAATAAAACATTGTGGCTTTTATAAAAATGATATTAGACTAAGAAGAAGTAAGAATAATTTGTTCATTAGAACTACATTGTATAGTGATCAATCTACCATAAAAAAAACACTACTGAGATCGACTCATTTTGCTCTGAGATCACAAAACAAAATGTTTTTGATTTAAATTACCCCTTTGATGTTTCTTTATTGTGTTGAATAACCTTTACACAATCTTTCTGAAATAAGGTCGCTAACTGTATTTTAAAAGGTGGTAACGATAAGTGGGATTAATAGAGGTAGAAGCAGTAAAAATTGAGGTACAATGCGTGCATCCTATCATTCTGCCAAACCTGCAATGTCCATAAAACTAACAACACTGCTTGACTTCTTAAATACGATATACTAAGCAAACATTTGGAGGAAAGCCAATTAAGTGTACATCTTGCTTGTGCGACACAGTATTCATGAAAACTCTGAGTGCTTAATTAAATATGATAAAAGTATGTAATTCTAATTTGTTGTCTGTTTTGTAAGTTATGTTGTTGATTTGAGGAAAAAAAACCCATCCACAACCTACACCCACTGAATGAAAAAAACTAACCCTGAAAAGAATTGATAGTCGATAAAATTCATACTGAAAAGAACCTAAAAGACTCAAAACGACTCTCATGGTCCCTCGTAATGGGCACACCATTGCCATTCAACTTGAATTCATACCAAGAAAAAAACATTATATTGATGTAACAGTGGACATGTTGTATTTTCACACTCAGACATACACAAATTCTTGTTCTCTGGTGGTTTTAGAAGGTCAACAAAGGTTTAATCATTTTACCATGCTTAATCACAAATAGCAACATGCGCCGTAGTACGTGGTATTCACTATAAGGGAGCCTTCACACAGAAGTAGTTGTTGGAAAAAGACAAAACTCATCGGCCAGCTGTTAAAATGTAATAAGCCCAAAATTTTGATTTTTTTTTTAAATTGCAGTTTGTCAATCTGTGATATAGGTTATATGTGCTTAAGAAATATTTTCGTTGAAATTCAAATCCTGAATGTTGAAAAAAGTGAGAAAAAAATCAATTATGAAGGTACAATTTGTTAAAAGAATGAAACACTTTTTTTCTTTCTCCTATAAAATTTGCTTTCTGAGCTTAAACCATTTTAACAGCTTGCCAACAAAATGTTTCGATCTACTGAAGAAAGATAATGAAGAAAGGCTTAAAAAGCCACTGAGTCCCATCTGCCAAAGGGTAGATTGAAAAGCTATGATCGTGTTTATGTCCCCTTCAACATGAATTGACTATCCAAGAAGCATTTTTACCATGCACTTATGCAGTGGGAACACAGACTTGAATTATAGTACCCTAGACAAGGCACTATTGTCTGTGCCGCTCTTTGCTCTCCATAAATGCTTTGCTATGTTGGTGCGCACCATGAGCACACAAATGAAGGGTAAAACACCAGACTCGCTAATATCGAGTCCGCAGGTAACCTTTCCTCCTTTGATTCCAAATACGTTTAAAGTCAAATTATGGTGCACCCCATGGTGAACTGGAATTACATCAGAGTGCACGGCCTCGGATATTATAATACAAGTTCATGGGTAAGACTAACTAAATGTCACATCCATGAATGTTAAGAGAAATAAAACCGGAAAAAAAACCTTTGTGCCGGAATCTCGTCAAGAACAAATGAGTTGCAAAATTATTTACTATGTTCCGGTATTTAGGATTCAAGTTTAACAGCAGTGCAGGCGTCATTCCTCAACACTAGCTACTTCTGTGTGAAAACCACCTGAAATATCATTCAATCTTTTTACAATAGCATTATACTGGTACGCATAAATGGCAGCTGTTTGATCACAATAGGTGCGAAAGGGTAAGTATGCATGATGCATGAATAATGTGAAACAAGAACGCAGAAAGCATTTTATATTACAATATTTCAGCTGAAAAGTGGTCAATTCTGAACTTCCCTATTAGTGGTTCGGTGCTTTGTCATTGTACACAGAAAGCGTGAGCTTTAAGCCCCTATGGGAGGTTTTGAACAGGTATCTTTATCTAACCTGACAGGACCTTGTATTCCTTTCAGACTGAAGTGGTCTTCACATGCAAGTTCAAAGTAGCCTGGCTCCTTAATGATCAAATTTATGTTTATGGCAGCACAAAACATTTACTATCACATTTCCCAGTCTGACACTACAAATCAAACTGAAAGTCTACTTGATACATCTTACTTTTGTTTTATATAAAGGGGAGACATTAATTTACTCTTGCAGCTAAGAAAAATGCACAAACATACCCTTCAATCCAAATTTAATTGAGTGAAAACGGCAATATTGATCAGCTTTTTAATCTTCAGTACAATGAAACATTTTTTAAAGTCTGGGCACATTGTGCCTACAAAATTGACCTTATGAACTTAGATTTCTACTGAGATTTCTAAACAAAAGATTGTGCCCATATCATTATTGGCATCTCTCTCTCTCTCTCTCTCTCTCTTTCTCCATCTCCTCTCTCTCTTGTCTCCTCTCTCTCCATCTCCCTGCCCCATCTCTGTCCATTCCTTCTCTTTCTTCCCCCCTCCCTCTTTCTCTCCCCCTCCCTCCCCCCCCACACACATACACAAAAAACACACAGAATCACACACACACATAAATACACAGAATAATGTACATAAAAAAACTGTTCTGGCACAAAGGCGTGTGAACAAATAGAGGCCATTTCATTTTCTTGCCCTAGAAGACATTGAGGCAGAGTCCTGCTTTTTCATCTTTTTTTGTCGATAAACTTCAAGGCTTTTTCATCAGTGGATCAGTTCCCAAAAATGTCAACTGTTATCAAAGTCATACCTATTAAATGAATTTAAGATCTTTGGATAAGACATTGTGTGAATATCAAATCTGTTTTTATACTTTGAATAGCATAGAACTAATGTAGTTACACATAAAGAAAAGTTACCACAATAGTGCCTATCAAATGATAAGCCTAGTGGACAGAGGATACAGTTGTGTTAAAGTTGAGAGGTTTAACTTCCAAGGCTCCCTTGACAAGAGAGAATTAATGCAGAAGGAGATTGAGATGTTGTTTAAGTAAAACCCAAACAATAACTGCCTAATTTTACCAGAACATACCGCACGTCCATAGCAACATCAATGAAGAAGTAGAAGGGGCAGACTGCATCAAAGTTGTTCAACAACTGTCACTCTTCTTTGGAAGTCTCAGCTTTGAATGGAATTTAATTTCAAAAGAAATTACTACACCAAGGTCCTCTTCAACAAATGTTAGGTAAACACCCTTTAAAGTTCTCGCACAAAGAGTCCATTTTTAAAAAACAGAATTAAATTTCCAACACATACACGCGCGTGAATACACACACACACACACACACACA